TATTGAACATGGAATTTCAATGTCAATGACCATTGACCCCTCAGGTCACACTAATCTCATATCTGGCCTTGGATGCTAGCAAAACAGTTTCAGACCAGTGCGGTTTCACTTAAAAGGGATATCCTGGAATTGAAATTTATAAGGCATCATTGAACATGACAAACTTTGTCAGATGGCGGAACAGATACAACGAAGGGCTGTCTATCGGATTGTCCTCTATCCTGGACAGCTACCTTGACTGAGATTATAATAGCAGGTTTGCCAGCAAAAGTACCCACTAGGTAAATAAATCAAATTACCATTAACACTGGAGAAATGGCAATGAGCGTACTATTGATTACACCAGTCTTTGCCGAGCCATCAATTTAGTTTGAAATTAGCACCATTCTCCATTGGACGGTTCCCATTAGCTTGTTAAAGTTACTGCTCTTGCCTTTTTTTTAATTTAGTCTGAATGGGTGAATGGGCAGAGTTGAGAAATCAGAGCTCGCACTAAGCATAGCTTGTTGTGCTGAACTCGGCCTGCCAACCGACCGCGCAATTCCAGTTGCATAGCATAAAATTGTCAGAAAGTTTAACCTGTCCTCAAGACTGGAAGTGGACACAGTCCCCGCTTGATTTGATATAACCATTTCTCATTGCTGATGTTCCCACTCGAATAATTGGATATCACATTTGCCAAAATTTGTATACCTTCAACAACATAGCAATCGGTAAACCGAGCTTCCTTAAATTAGAACACCACAAGTCGATTGCCAATTGCAAGTTAATAAATCATCTGGTCGAGTATGTCAATAAAATCTGCATTATAAAATTGACTCTCATAAATCGGTTCAGTAAGATAACAGGAAATCACATGAATTGGATTGTTTTTAAATCGAAATGCAAAATTGAGACTAATCCGGCGCACTACCTTAGAGTTCCCTTGATGCAAATACTTACGACCCCAGAGAAATTTGCGACAGCGTGGCGAGGGACGCCAGTCAACAATCCACATAAAAATATTCATGATCACAAATGATTGGGCACTACCGAGAATTGCTTCATTGAAACCACGGGGAACACTCAAGAGAGTCAAGTTGAAATTCCGACCAAAAGTTGGCGTGTCCAAGGTTAGACGATGAGAAGTCAGGATGTACCAACCGCCGACGACACGAGCTTATGACGTCATTACTGATCAACAAGTGTAAACACAGTCTGTTTCCTGGAATATGACGTCACTGAGTGAATATAGCAAGCTACGGTGGAGACGTTTCGGCTGATAGGCGTAAATATCGTGTAGATGAAAGGAGTAGTAGATGGTCTGAGTATTTGGCGGCGCAGATTTCTCTATCCAATGATTTTTTTTGTGTTCATGTCGCGGGAAACAAATGACTCGTACCGCGCAGCGGTGCGCACATGGACTGAAGGGATTCTACGGATCAGACAGGTAAGGAGATACAGAAGGAGTGACTCTGAAGTGGTCGATAGATATTGAAACCGGAATTACACAAGGAGGAAAAGATCTAAGGATGGATGCTAGCCGAAGAGGAGGTATGTTGCAACACTTTCATGTGTTTTTGACTCTGCTGATACGTCTAAGTCTACTAGGATCGGAACTGTCTCACGTTACGGAAGAAGTAAGTATGTTAGGCAGATATCGGAACGAAGAACGCCATAAGACGCCCAAGCTGAGAGGTGGGTCAGAGAGAGACGGGGCGAGGGAGCACCCCGCCCAAGGTGAGTGACAAATACGAAGAAGATGATAGAATAATAAGGCGAGGAGTAATACCGCCGGGATGAGGTAAGTGATAAGTCCACCGTCGGAAAGATCGCAGCATACATCACTCATGACGCTAACGCGCTTGAAAACACATCTGCAGGACAGAATTCCACGGCGTCGGATAAAATTGCAGGATAGATTCAGTCATGGAGTCTTTCGAATCACACCGGTCAATGATTCAAAGGCGCCACTTGCGGGTGCCATGACTGCATGAGAGTACTGAGTAGGTGCCTGTCTATGAGCCCGGTGAGACTGCGGTCGTCGGGGTAGCAGGCTTGTGTCCACCGGTTCGTTGGGTGAAAACGCGTAAGACGGTCTCTCACAGAAGGGCTGCAAGGGTCAGTAACCAACGTCCGGCCGCGGGGTTTTAGTAGGGAAACAGAGATGTGCCGTGAGCGGCAGAGGTTGACGGACCAATCATAAGCCACCGAGGAACGCTAATAACTGACGCTACCCGCGTCGATCTTAAGACAAGTAATCGGGGTCAAATGATGTAGGTGTTCGAAGAGAGTGGGCCGGCAGAGATTGATTGAACCAATCACACCCATCGACGAACGCTAATAATGTAATCGCTACCTGCGTTGCACCTTTAGACAAGTAATCCGGGTCAAGTGATGTAGGTGTTCGAGGATATTGGGCCAGGGAGCCCAAGAGGTGCTAGGAAGAGCACACACGATTCCAATGTTGGAATGTGGCGCGATAAGTCGTTGGGAGGTAAGAGTAAGCCTAGATGAAATTCACACTAATCACGGAGTCTATTGAACAAATTGCGTTTATTGTCCCTGATATGTACCGCTGGAGGGAGTTAGAATAATTGCTGGGAGGGACTGAGAGGTCGACGCGAGATCAAATTTATTGTAGTGGAATGAGAGAGGTATGACAAAGAGAGTGGGTCTGAGGGAGATTGAGGTATGCGTCATATAGTGTAAGGACCAGCGGGAGATCTAATCTCAGCATTGAGGGCGACATTAAATGGGGATGTACTCGATTACCTTTGGGATGATAGGCATTAGAAAGGGAGAGAATTGTGGGTAGCTATCAGGTATCAGATGGTGGCTTCAGGTTATGTCCTCAAGGGAGGCATCAAAATTATATACTTTGGGGAGACTTCCGTGTCCTAAATTCCTTATGAGACAGATACCATCCTAGGCAGTGAAGACTATATGTTGACAAGCGACAAGCCAGCCTCATTATAAATATTGTTTGTGACGAGCCCCAGGCGCAAGGAACGGTGGCGGAAAGGAATCGGTCAGCTTGAAACCAACGGACCGATCATCAATTGAAAATGGGTGTGCAATTGCGTTTGAACAAGAGAGAAGTCAAACAGCAAGAAAATCAACTCGTTAATCAACCATTTGAGGATCTACCAGTCGAAAACACTCACCTGAGGTTGTTCCAGAGCACGGCGCAGGTCGGCAACCATCTCGGAAAGAAAAACACCCCCGATGAAAGAAATTTTATTAAACAATATTTTTTTTTTTGAAAACATACTCCCCACCGCTTCCGGACCCCCTGGGGGCACTCATCACAGATGGATCCTACTACGCCATGCTGCATCACAGGTCCTGATTCCGTGACCAGCACAGAGGGTCAAACAACGAACATAATTTGACCAAATCTCTACCAAATCTGCACCAAATGTGTACCAGATAGCCGCCGTGAAAACGGCTATTAACAACTCTCAGCTTAACCCTATTCCTGGCGGGGGGGGGGCCTCAGGAGCCCCCCCCTGAGGTTTTTTGGTTATATCTCCCAAACGCGTTGAGCTAGAAAGCTCAAATTTTCTGACTTTTCCTAAAAGGCTTCTACGCAACATGTCTGAAAATTTTGAGTTGATCTGACCTCAGGTCAGGTCACCAGAGGCGGTTTGGTGACGCTACCTCAGAAAAGTTTGCAATCACGCCAGAGCTAGAGTTTTTGACCGATCAATTTCTTCTCTTCAGGGTTTAGTTAGGGTACCAGTATGTGCAATTTGTATATCTCGGAATTTTGATATCGGTGACCTAAGGTCAGGTCAATTTCGCGACCTCCCCATTATAAGTCAATGGGGGAAAAATCAACTCCCTGTTTTTACCACTAAAACGGGTCGGAATGGCCCCATATACCATACATGACTTCATATACGATCAACCTTCACTACCTTGAGGTCTGTTTTGCTGTTGGGCAGCTGTGAGGTCATGTGACGTCATCAAAGGTCACCAAAGGTTTTTGGCCAATAACTCCGTACAGGAACAAGATACAGACGCGTGGATGGTCTCATTGTGTTCAGCTCGTCAAGACGCATCGAATGATATACATGATGACCTCGAGGTCACGTGACCTGAGGTCAACCTTTGACCTTGACCTTTCGAGGTCAACATATATATCATTCGATGCGGATTGACGAGAGGATCACGATGATGCCCTTAGTTTGTTCCTATCTTGACTAATTCGAAAGTTATTCGAGAAAAACTCTCTCCATATCTAGTGCCGCCATTTTGACTTTTTCGACCCCTGTGACGTCATCTTTGACCTGACCTGAAAATGACCTTAGTAAAAATTGTAGATCTTGGCCGTGCGTATCCGATGCCGTTTACCGCTTGTCGCTATCTTGCTTCGTTCTCGAGATCTCAGGGGGGGGCCGAATCGGCCCCCCCCCCGCCAGTTTCTTGTCCCGGCGGAGCCCGCCAGGAATAGGGGAATCGAATCGAATCGATTCGACAATATCGAAGGATTCCATTGACGATCTCATTTCAGGTATAGCAATACAAAGAGAAAGAAATACTATGAATACATAGGTAGTTTACCTATAGATTAACAAAATATTAACTTAATTGACTTTTTTAGGATCCATTTTCAAATTTACAACTTCACTCCATGCAAATATGCGGCCTTGAGCTGCACTCTGCAAGTCCATCCTTCCATTTAATCGTTCTTCCACTCTTCTTCCATTCAGGATCACCCGCAAGGCGCGTGCCGCTGAGTTTCGCCGATGCACGATCGATTTCGAAACATCAAACCTAGTGTTAGCCTTGCAGTTAGTCGGGCCGGCGTGCAGAACTGACTGACGTGACGTTCGCGCGCTGACCTTGCAGCAAAAACTAGCCAGGGACTGGCAGAAACCCACAGCTGAGCAATACCGCCAGTGGTGCACAGGGTGCCGCCGAGACCGGTCCGGCGCGACCGTGGCGCTTGCGGCGCTAGTGGGATTGTAAGCCGAGGGAGTCAGGACAGCGCTCGCCCGGAGAAGATGGCTCCCTGGGGCACTACTGCCACAAGTTCGGCCCCGGCGATCGCAGCCTCGTCGCCACAAGACTCAATGGCAGCTTCGGTGACTAAAGACTCGCTCTTGTTTGAGGACGTTTTGGAGCGATGCTGCGGCACCGGACGGTGGCAAGTGATGCTGATCGCCTACATGTCGGTTATGTGGCTCATCTTTCCGACATTCGCCATGTCGATGATGTTTGTCGGAGCATCACCGCCTTTCAAATGCGCCGACGGTATCGACGTGAACGCTACGTTCGCATCGCTGCCGGACGATTTGCCAAAGTGTCATCCTCTGGGCGACAACAGCTCTTCGTGCACGCGCTGGGTTTTCGACAAGTCCATGTACGAGTCGACCGTGGTGACCGAGTGGAACTTGGTGTGCGGCCGCAAGCCGATGCTGTCGATGCTGCAGTCTGTGCTGATGCTGGGAGGGATCGCCGGCGCACTGCTCGGAGGACAGCTAACGGACCGCTTCGGACGCCGACCCGTATTCCTGCCTGTGATGCTACTCGTGATGGCCTGCTCCTTCTCCGCGGCGCTTGTGGGCGATTACGTCAGCTTCGTCGTAATTCGAGGCATCACGGGCTTCTGTATGTCCACCATGATTGCGAGCCAGTATGTGCTGGTGACAGAGCTGAGCGGCTGCAAGCACCGGGCGGCACTGACGACCGTTACCTTCCTACCGTTCTCGTTCGGAACCATGCTGGTGGCGGCAGCGTCGTACGGCATCCGCACGCGCTGGCTGCTGCAGCTGGCGTTCGCCGTGCCCAGTCTGCTGTTCCTGCCCAACTTCTGGCTGATGCCCGAGTCGCCGCGCTGGCTGGTGCTTCAGGGCCGCCTTGATGAAGCGCTAGCCATCCTACATCAAGCGGCGCACTGGAATCGTCGTAAGATGCCCCCAGACGAAGAGGTGCTGAAACTCATGGAGGAGGCGCGTAGGGGCCTGCTGGCCCGAGAAGCGGCCCTCAAGGGAACAAACAAGTCCTCCGCGCTTCAGCGAGTCCTGGACATGGTGCTTACTAAGCGCATGCGTATCTACACGTTGGTGACATGCTTTGTCAGCTTTGCCATCGCAGGCTCGTACTTCGGCATCTCGTTCGATATAACGCAGCTGAGTTCAAGCCCACATTTGGCTGTGGCTCTGTCGGGTTTGGTGGAGATCCCGGCCGCCTTTGTGTATCCCCTGATGGACAGATTGGGACGTCGTCTGTCACAGTCGGGGTTTCTGCTAATCACGGCCATCTGCATGTTCTCTACATTCATTAAGGAGGACAGAACACTTTGGACGGTGCTCGGGCTCATTGCTAAGCTCGGTGTTACGAGTGCATTTAACATCATATGCATCTACGTGTCTGAGTACATGCCCACTCAGCAGCGGGGTCTGGCTATGGGCATCATGCAGACGGCGGCGCGGATCGGCGGCGCCGTATCTCCGTTCGTGGTGGACCTGGTGAGCGGCCTGCACGAGCTGGCGCCGTCGGCCGTGTTCGGCGCCGTGGTGCTGCTGGCCAGCCTGGCCACCCTGCTGCTGCCCGAGACGGCCGGACAGCCCATGCCCGAGACGGTGGCAGACGTGGAGGAGGCGTACCGACGGCGGAAGGCCGCCAGCGCGCCCGCCGACCGCAAACTGAGCGGCGTCTGTAACGCGGCCATGCAGCCAGACGGGGCACTATGATGGATCACAGAGTAGTAATTTTTACCGCACCTAGAAAGGTTTCCCCACCGATCAACACTTATGTGTTTTCTTAGCATGACAAATCTGTTTTATCCCGTCGTTGTGCATACCACGCGAATAAAGCTCAATTTTTGCTAACACATCTTTTCCCGCACGTTTGCAGCTTAATGACGTAGTGAAAGCGATGACCTCATCGATTGCCTGAACGATGCAAAAACTATAGTAATCCTTACATCTACGATCCCTTTTGTCTTAACCCTCGCCGGCCGAGGGGGGGGGGGGGGCGGGTGCCGCCCCCCCCCCATAGGGTTTTTTCGCAATAGCTCCGAACTCGCTGGCGATAGCGAGCTGAAACTTGGCATACCTGACCTTTGATCCAAGCCGGATCTTTTGACACCAACCGCATTTTTGGGTCAGGTTAGGTCACTGACCTATGACGTCATAAGTGAACCTCTGCACGGTCTTCAGATGTCGCAACTTCGCAACGCCTTCACTGCCAGAGGAGATGTCACAGGGAAATGAAACTTGCAGGATCTAGTATCCATTATGAGTCCCACAACTTGTATATCTCGGATTTTTCCTAAAGGTCATATGAGGTCAGGTCATTTTCGTGACCTCACCATTATAAGTCAATGGGGAAAAATTCAAACTGCTATTCTGGCGCCGGGAACGATCTCCAACTATCTCAAGCACACAGAATCGTGATTTGATGCACTCCTTGCAAGGTTAGATGCGTCACTTTTGCAATGTTGACCTTGCGTGACGTCATTTATGACGTTATCAAGGTCATATTAGTTTTTCGTCAATAACTCTTGATCAAATTGAGCTAGCGAGTCGGGAAAGCCACCAATGGACTCAGGAAGACCTGCCGAATCGAATGATATGCGACATGACCTCTTTCGACCAGCTTCGTGACCTGGGGGTGCTGACCTGACCTTGACCTGAGGTCAACACCCCAAGTTGACCTGACCCGGACAAAAAGTATATCATTCGACGCGCCTGAGCGAGACGAACACGATGCTGCCAAAATCGGCGCTCTGCGACCGTTTTTTGCGAAGTTATTCACCAAAAACTGAACCGTACCTTGGGGCACTTGACCTGACCTCAGAGGTCACCGGTTGACCTAGGACCTTAAAATCGGGTAGGGTAAGGTGCCTAATTAGCGACTTCCTTAATTTGAACCGTCCTTGCTCACGCTCTGTGGGTCCCACTGTATTACTGGCCTGATTTACGGAGAGATCGTTCATTTTTCTATTAAAATAAAGCCATTTTCTGCCCCAATATTCACTAACTTATTTGTAGTGAGCATTTTGGCAAACCATTGCAAAAAACGCTAATAGGGAACTCTTCCCGATTAGCGACCGGGGAGGGTCGCTAATAAGTCTATGGGTTTCCCCATATTAGAAATGGCAAAAAATGCGACGCCTGAAAAGATGAAATATGATCTCAAAAAGGTAACCTATAAGCAAAGCACTCAATCACTCGAACAGGAACGTTTATCCTACACATTTACGTAAGTAAAAACTGATCACGTGATGCACCGAAGGCGAAAAGAAGGCGGAAACCCAAATTTTGCGGGCTATCTCGTATGATATTCGAGGTCCGCGCTGAATTCGGCACCCCTGCAGTCGGTGACGACATTTGGCATCCCCTGCCACACATTGCAAGCTTCAGCAACACCTCATTTTCATTTCTCTCTTTTCCCCTTTCTTTCCCTTCTTGAGCTATTTGCGACCATGTCAGGCGCAAATAGGAAATATGAGTTGCGACACATTTTTAACCGCCATGCTGTGCACAGTTGAGCGATTCACATATGGGAAAACGGCAATCAAGTGAAAAAAGAATGTCGATTCAGAATAAAAAAGGCGCATCATCCTAATGTGCATCGCTTTTCATCAGAGAGGGCCCAAACACACTCGTTTTGGATAAGAAACTCGTCATTTTTATTTAAACTCACCTGAAACGTCCCACCAGAAACATCGATGACCGGAAAATAATTTAATTTGTTAACCAAAGTATGGCTGACCTTTTGACGATGTTTTTACCCCGTTTTCTCCTGCCAGTTTTTCTGTAGGGAGGTAGGTCGCAAATCGGAAAGGGTCGCTAATTAGGCACCTTACCCTACCAATCTCTGCGTCTCGTAACGGCGCACACGCTCGTTTTTTCCGCGACGCGCTAGCTCCACCAGGGGCGAAACGGCGAGGGGGGGGGGGTCGTACCCGCCCCCCCCCCTCGGCCGGCGCGTATGTAGAAAACCAATAGGTCCGGCGAGGGTTAATGGCAAAGGTTCGGAACGATGATATCTCTAGAAAACAATTTCATTTGAAGATCTATCAAAAGGATGTCATTCTTAAATAGATTAGCCATGCATGTGTCTTGAAAATGGTTAGGTAACACAAGCCGCGCCGGTCAGATTTGGAATCAATCATGAATCAGCAATCATTTTGGTTTACGAAATGCCGTTTTGGCCTCCCCTGTCCATATTTTTGCCTTATTCGGGCAAAAATTGGTCCCCCTAGTCCTGCCTTTTACTGTCAGCAGAGTTTGCTGTTTTTATTACTTCTTTGACATAAACAAAAAAAAAAGCGCGTTTTGGTGATCAATCTCAGTCCATTTATCTCTAGCTGGGCTCCGAAGCCACTAGCCAGTATCGTAGTTATCTACAGTTCTACCCTTGATCTGACCTTGACCTAACCTGTGCCCGCCCCTACTGTATAGGCAAAGAAAATTGTACTTAACGACCAACCGTTAAATTTTACGCTGTACAACCAACCGTTTGGAAGTTACGACGGTGTGGGAGGGGGGGGGGGTGAATCTACCCCCCTCCCCAGCGAGGCGCGTTCGGCTGAATAGCCCAGCGGGACGAGAGATATTCAGTATGGCTAATATGTAAGAATGACGCAAAACAAGCAATCGGACCCTAAGAGCCTTGATATTGGGATAACGTTTTTTTTTTATTAAATAAGTATTTGTATGGACGAACTGAACAGTGTTTGCCGCGAAGCGCCGTCTCCTAGCTACCATCCTATTGCGCAATGTTGGATAACGGAAGGAACCCAAAGTTTGGCGGTGCCCATTAAAGTCGGACGTGTGAAGTCCGCCCCAACTGAAATATGTGTACGTATACTGCATTGCGAAACTGGTTGTGAATGTCCCCTATACTCGTAGTTAGGTCGGGACTTATAATGTGAAACAAAAGTAGCTCTACCGGCCTATAACAGAAAAGCGTCAATTCTGAAACCATATAATTTGTGCGTGTGTGTCGTCATTTCGCCCCTCTGCTTCCCGGAAATGCGTGCGAACTCGCGCCGTGTGCTTCCCAAGACTCGATATCCTCGGGGGTCGATGTGCGTCGTGCTTCAGAGAGATGACCTTCAGGGTCACACAGAAAGCTGCAGCCCGGGACAGGGCAATGGCCTGACATCTCTGTGTAACGGGGGAGAGTGGTCGCGGGATACGGATGGGGCACACGGGACACACGGTGGGACAGGGAGTGGAAACCAGTGGGACAGGGAGCTTAGGACACAGTGAGACAGTGGAACCAATGGGATAATGACGGAAAAGGGAAGGTACACATGGTTACAGGACAATTTGCCGAACTGCGTTTTGCCGAATGCTTATTCGCCGAATGTCAATATGTCGAATGCATTTTGCCGACGTGTCTTTTTGCCGACGTGTCAAAAAGACGAAGTGCTAAAAGTCGAAATGCAATTTGCCGACATGCCTTTTTGCCGACGTGCAATAAGTCGAAAATGTCAATTTGCCGAAATGCTAATAGCTAGCCTGCGGCTGGCTGGAGACTTTAACCCTCGCCCATCATGTAGGGGGTTGGGGGTTGGTGCACCCCCCCCCCCCCTGAGGTTTTCTATGCACGCCGAACTGTTTCAGATAGCCTGCTCAAATTTTCAGTACCCTCTGGGGCATCCTTTGCGCAACTTTTGGTATTTTTTTTGTCAAGGTCATGTCAGGTCATGGAGTTATGACGTCATAAAGGGAACAACCTCCGGCCAGATTTACACTAACTTGGAGATTGCTTCACATTGGTATAAATGCCGACTGACCTGACACACTGATGGGTTGTTTTAGAATCACAACTGGCTGATTTGACATTGGCACAATGTCCGTTGACATTTTGAAGGTTACTTAAGATCAAGGTAAGGTCAGTGACCTCGGTTGACCTGTGATGACTTCTTGCACTTGTATGCCTTTTCGGGGTATTTTGATGCCCTGAATTCGAATTTACTACTATCCATTTCAGGCATCGTCGGTTGTTTCTTGTAGTTCATTTTGGGTCAGGGTCAGGTCAGTGACATCACACGCCTGACGTGACCCAATGCTACAATGACCTTGCGGACTTCCGATTCTCCCAACGCATCATTTTTAGAGTTATGACATCGAAATACACACCAAACGATAGAGAATTGATCAAGGATCACGATAGTGAAGGTTTCAAGTCGATATCTCTTACCGTTTTGCCACAATCGGCGCGGAAATCTGAAAAAGTTAGATTTTTTCCGAAAATTTGACCTTTGACCGGTCATAAGTAGGTCAAATGTTGACCTAGGACCAAAAAATATACCACCAATCGCGAGATCTCGTTGAGAGAAACCCGTTGGTCTTTTCCGCTAAGCTCTACGACGCTCCGTTTTCAAACGCCAGGGGGGTCGCACCAACCCCCCCCCCTGCATGGGCGAAGGTGGCAAAACACCGTTTACGGGCGAGGGTTAATGGGTCAATGGAAGATACCACAGATTTGGACTGTAATATCTATCATAATATTTGGTTACATTTGTGGGCAAATATTTGGTTACTTTTCAAGTATAGGATTTCGGAGTAGAGTCAGAGTCAGAGTCGCTCGAAGACGAGAAATAACCCAGGAATCGGAGTTGGAGTCGGAATGTCAGGGTCGAAAAGCTTTCTCGACTCCGGCTCTGTACCTACTACTTTTGAAAATTTCAGTTACATACCTATCACTTGTTTATTCGACTGAGAATTAGCATGCACTTCTCTGAAAGTTACCAATAGAAACCATCCATAGTAATCAATAGCAATAAAAGCATCCGTATTGGCCTTTTTACAGCATTTAACGTATAAGGGGGAAAGGGGCGTTTGGACCATGCAGCCGTTTGGCTCCTGGATCGAGCTTGAGCTTCGAGTAAAAAAAAAAAAAACGTTATCGTCCGTGAAAAGAGGAAACCGAAACCGTTTGACTGCCCCTTTTCCTAGATGTGCGAGGTGTATTTATAGGTTGATAAGAACTGGGCTGCAGCCTGCAATACAAACTTTTCCTAAATAGGTACTTTATTTATAGACCAATAATAACTATGGACTCGGCTGGGCCGGTGCGCGTTAGCCGTGCGTGTTGGGTACGTGAGGTGCGTGGGAGCGGCGGCGGGGCGACGTCCTCTGTGACCGGCGGGGCGCTGACACACGGTGCGTCCCTGTCCGATGACCTGCCGGTCAGGCCGGGCCGGGTCCCTGTCGAGCGGAGGGCGGTCCCCGCCGCGGGCCGTCGCCGAGACAGAGGGTGGCCACCGTAACGGAGGCGTATATAAATACAGTAGGCGACGCAGGAGGGGACACAACAGACCAGGACACGCGAACAACATGGCTCGAGGTGCTCGGGTAAGTCCATCGACCTATAGCAGCTGCCAGCTGATTTATGCTCCCTTTTTTCAATTTTCACCATCCAAATGTGAACAGCCGTTCCTTTTTCGTGTGCTTGTGCCTTGTTTCAATATATGTAAAAGTTCGTCTCAATAGGTAACGATGTTTCGAAATTGCTTTCATGGTAGACTAGACTAGAATTTATACCGGGTAACCGGACCTACCTGACCTACCGCTTTGAGTGATGTCCCTGGTGATTTGGGTTGTTTATATCGCCATGCTCTGCTCTGATGCTTTATTTGTGTGCACCGTTAACACAGTCTAGTGTGTTTAACACACAGTAACACCATACGTTGGTGTTCGTTTCAGGCTCTGCTTGCTGTGACGCTGCTCGCGGTGACGGTCGCCGCAGACAAGGGCGCCGCCGTGCACCATCATCCGTACGGCTACCGTCCGATCAGCTACGACTACAAACCCTTCAGCTACAGCTACGGCGTGCACGAGCCGTACCGACAGAACACGAACGTCCACCACTACCAGCACGGTCTCGGCTACGGCTACCCCTACGGCTACGGCCACCGTTACGGCCACCCGTACAACTACGGCCTCGGGTACGGATACGGTTACGGTCTACCAGCGTACAGCCATGTGAAGTACTCTGGTTACCCGACGGGCTACGCTCTACAAGTGGCTCACTCGAAAGTGCATCCCAACAAGTATGCCAACAGTCACGCATATGCTCACAAGCCTGCCGAGTTTGGCTATAGCTCGACGGTAGTGCACCCTGCCGGCGCGGTGGTGGCGGTGCTGCGCCCTGTAGGCGGATACGGAAAGCTAAAAGTGCTGCACGGCAAAGCTGCTGAAGAGAAGCCTGGGAAGACTGAGTCGGCTGCTGCGGCAGATGATGAGTCGGCGTCAGGAGAGGGGATGATTGATGAGGACGTGATCGTGTAGTAGACAGCGACCGAGGGACGTGACTGAGACAGCAAGGATGTCACTGCATCGCAAAGCATGCTGGCATAATACTAAACGTGGATGGACACTGTCAGTGAAGTGTGTATCTAGCTCCATTTCACATATATTTTGCCTAGATATGTTCAATAAATTCGTATGGGCATTGTTTTTAAAACAATGTGTTTGCCTGCCATTTCAGCGCGCTCAATCAAGGCCGTATCGCTCAATGGCAGGGACCAGCACATGCAATCCAAGCATAAACAAATAACCGTGCATAGTTGTAGTAGGGATGGATTTTGCATTGTAAGCAACGCAGCAATGCAAACATGGTGTGGCAACGCAACGGCCCCAAAACTTGAACAAAGCAACCCAGTCTGCTCCCAACCCCCAAGATGTCCCGTCCCCTCCCCCTTCTCACAGCACAGTTCTCACGTTCGTTCTCACTTCTCACAGTCTCGCTCTCGCAGCTGGAGAGCATCCGTGGCACTTTTGTCTAGCGAGTAGCATGCGCTACCTCGATGGGTAGGCATTGTAAGCACATTAACAATGGTATGGCAACGCAACGGCCCCAAAACTTGAACAAAGCAACCCAGTCTGCTCCCAACCCCCAAGATGTCCCGTCCCCTCCCCCTTCTCACAGCACAGTTCTCACGTTCGTTCTCACTTCTCACAGTCTCGCAGGGTAACTTGTCACATCACACTAAAAAGTCCGCTCCTTCGATTAGCTTAAATTAATTTTTTTGACTTCAACTTAATATCTTTATTTGCTTTAAGTTTGACATTTCTTCTCCTACACAAAAAGATTCTTCCTTACTATTCATAAGAAGGAAATGAGCAAAAGAATATATTTTTATGACGTCATTTTATATTTTAAACCATTACAACTGTACTTCTTCATTGTACCTTGGTAAAGTTTACTAAACGCGTTTACACGTCGTCGGCGGCGGCGCAGCTTGGACATCATTATAGGGCGAATTGAAGTGTTTATTTCCTTTTTCTGACATCTTTTCGTGCAACTATTATATCTTCATCGTAAAGGTGAGGTGGGCATGTTTGAAACGCTGTGTCTGGTATATGACCATCAATTGGACACCCTTTCGAATTGAGCGCAGATTTGAGATTTGGTCTGCTGGATTTTGATTTTGATTTGAGAAATGAAAATTTGTTAATTCCAGGGCTGATGGCTCATTTCATGGCATGCTGCTAGATGCTACTAACTTGTTTGTGAGATGATGTTATAGGTTGTGCTGTGGCTTGTGACGATTCTTTTGATGTAATGAGACATTGCTTAAAGGAAAAGGGCCACCTTTAACATGGGGATTGAAACTGAGATAGCCATCTTGTAGCCCGTGTCCGAAAACCTATTTGTCTACCTCCTTACGGGCGATTTCTGCCTCCATTCGTAGTTATCGGCAATTTTAAAAGAAAATACGCCAGGAATGCGTCCTTATCCCAGGAATGCGTTCTTATCCGACAATACAGCCACCCGCGGCGAGGCTTTGGTTTTTTACCAATCAGCTCCAACCAGCTCAGCTTTAACCAATCAGCTTATCTGACACAATCCGACGAGTCTGTCTTCTGAACGCTGATTGGCTTGAGTGTGACGTCATCGCTATGCCATCATACAGTAGGTGCCGTAGAGAGTATCAACATAGCACCAATATGTTGAATAGTTTTAAATACTTTTTCGCGAATTGTGCACTTCTGGCACCAGTTTTAAAAAGAAAATGAAAAATAATAAAGTCAAAATGAAAAACAACGATATCTTCATATTTCACGAAGGTGGCCCTTTTCCTTTAATCTTGTTGCTTATATTATGGCTGCTTGCTAGATCTTAGATCTCTCATTTAGGCACCAATATTTTTATGAAAGCATCAAATTCAAGTTAACTGCTGTACTGAAATGTCAGCTTATATTAGACTGCATCTGAGTTTGTTGCATCCATGGAAACTCAGTTGGGACGCCGGTACAGGGGCCAGGGCACTGGAGGGAATATTAGTATTAGTCATGTGACATTTGGAACTTCTCCCCCTCAATGGGCCAGGGGCCCTCTACATGCTAAACGTCACGTGGGAATTTGACGAACCTTGATCAAATCGCCCCAGGCGCCCTGTTTTCACCGTCATCCTTCAATTGGGCAAACTAGGCTTCTGGAATAAAAAAATGGAGGCATCAAATATTGATCCTTCATGACCATATTTGAGCATAAATGTAGACCATTTCTAAATCACCAATCACCTAAAAATAAGCTAGTATTTTAAGAAGGATCATGCCTAATGTTGAACAGAAATGTTCGAACTCTACTACTGAGCACAATAATATTGCTTTAATCATAGTAATCTGACTTCTGAAGGGTAAGGAAATGCCATCAATAAATTGATTCACTTTGAACAGATAATCAAAATATTGATTCCATGCTCAGCTGGCTAATCATTATTTTGATTCACAGGTAATGTTAACAGATAGGCAAAAATGGCTTGCAAGAATACAGCATTTATCTTGCTATCGTTCACATTTAATGGTATCCTCAGCACCACAACAGATTCCATTAAACATTCAATTGAAGTTTTGACTTGTGCTTACGCCTACCAGACAGGGAAATGCATCACACACCCACACAAAAAAAGCGAGACTGAGATTTGTGCGACGAAGAAATACGAAAGCCGCGCTGAGGCTTCGATCTGTCCGTTTTTAGGGTCGCGATTCAGCGATGTTTGTCGAGCGAATCTTCATTCTTGCATTTCTTTTTTAGCGCCAACCATCGTTGCAACTTTCTTCGAATCGGCACGTACTCGGCTCCGCATTGTTCGTTTATCGCACTTATTCGTCTCCGCCTATTCTAAGTCCAGGGCTGCGGAGTCGATGGATTTTCGGCGACTCCGACTCCGACTCCGACTCCGACTCCAGCTTTCAAAAACCAGCTCCGACTCCGACTCCAACTCCGGGCAGAATTGTCGACTCCGACCGACTCCAACTCCCGACTCCGACTTCGCAGACCTAGCAGGGCTGCGGAGTCGACAGATTTTCGATGACTCCGACTCCGACTCGGGCTCGGGTTTCTAAAATCGACTCCGACTCCGACTCCGACTCCGGTCACAACTGTCGACTCCGACCGACTCCGACTCCGACTCCGACTCCGCAGCCCTGATTCTAACCGCCATTCATCGTCGACACTGACTACGAGTCTAGTTTGTTGATTTTAATTTGTGCAGGGTAGACTGAAAATCGTTTGTTCCTACACTACTCATTCAGTATGTGAAGCTAGATCGAACTTTTTTAAAACTGGGTGAGTGACCACCGATTTTCCATATCTGTCCAAAACTTATGACCCTCTCTGGTTTCCTGTATAGGCGCGGTGACCTGTACCACCGATAACTGGCACCTCCGTTCCCCGCTCCAAGTGAGCTATTCCGACTTCTGCCTTAACCCTTCCCTTCCCGTCCGAGGTGCAGCGTGCCCTTGCCTTTCCTAACCCCCCGTGTCCCCGCTCCAGGTGTAGTGAGCTGCTCCGACACCTGCTTTAACCCTTTCTCTTCGCTCTCCAGGCGGATCGTACCGTTACCTTTCCTAACCCCCCGTGTCCCCGCTTTAGGCGCGGTGAGCGGCCGCCATGGAGCGCGCCGAGGGCCTGGTACAGCGTCGGAACGTGGCCTCCCGGGAGCGGGCCGCCGGCTCGGGACCAGCCGGCCCCGTCGCCGCCGACGGCTCGTCGCCCGACGTCGAGGAGGCCGACACAGACGGTGACAGCAAGCAGGCCAGACTCACTCTCATGGAGCAGGTGCTCATGCTCGGCATCAAGGACAGAGAGGTGAGCGGGAGAGAGAGGGAGGGAGGAGGGTGGGCGGGAGGCGGGCCGGGCGGGTGAATGACCTCTGGGGATGATGAGGTGTGCCTGCAGAGGAGAGGTTCGGGAGGTAACGGGCAGAGTCACGTGAATATTTCGCGAGAGCGTCGTGTGTGACTCGCTGTATGCTGGACTGGTGAGTACGAACTGATGTCTCTTGTTTGGTGCCACAACAACGCAGATTCAAGCAAGTCGCTGGCACACTTATGGATAAAGGACCCGAGCTGTTATCGCCTTTAAAACCCCACAGTGCGCACTGCGCGGATAATAGGCAGCATACAATACGTTGAGCTGCATACTACACCGAGTTGAATTTACCGTACGAACGCGTGTAACAGCGTCCGGCGGACATGTCCGTGGTGCCTATTGTTGGGGTTCGTGGAAGTCGGAATGGTCCGGTACGAACTGACTGGGGTGAGGAGGGGGTCAGGGGAGCGGACGAGAGGTCTGTACCGCAACTCAGGGGTGCGGCGCAGGCAGGTATAGTGAATGCCGTTCAACACCTAAGATAATATAGGATAAGGTTTGTGTTCGCCTTTTTAATTGCCACTGCAATGGGTTTTTGTTGCGTCTTGCTTAAAACTTCTGTTTTCCAGCAGATACTCGTTAAAAGCTGCATTTAGTTATAACGTTCTTGACCTATCGCTAGTTATTGGAACCTCACAATCTTAGTTTGTGACAGTCGCTACGTTACCATTTTAGTGGCCGGCTGAACTCATTGTTTGAACGTGATTGGCCAATGGCCGGCATACCACCAGCGATCAATGGACCAATGTAGCCAGAAAGGTGTTCACGGGCACCGCACACTGCTGCGTGCGGTGTGTGCGGAGCGTCCAGCAGGCGTGGGGGTAGGGGATGGGTAGGCGGCTCTGACGTCACGGCTGCGTGCGGTGGACGGTTCGCTGTGGCCAGTCCCGACCGGCCACAGCGGTCGCTGTGTGCGGTGACGCAAGGCTGACGTAGGGACGCAGTGGGCGGAGCTTGGAGGCTGTGTGCGGTCCGACCGCACACAGGGCCCGTGAACAGCCCTCTGTTATTATGGTCCGTTTGCGTCGACTTCAAATATTTATTTCACATGTGCATGCATATTGCATTGCGTTGGCGTTTTTCTATGCTGATTGATAGTAAATGTGCATGCCGAATAAATGTTGAGTGAGGTTCGAGGCTGTTGAACGCAACGAAATGCATCCTCTAAAATAAGAAACTGGTATCTCTGGCTGATGCGATGCAGGTACATCTGTTTTAAACATCCGTATCCACATTGACCTTCAGCAAAATTGATTGACTCGAAAAAACAGATGCGAAGCGCTCCCCGATTTGTTTCTCCTTTCTTATTTTTAATCACGAGTCATAAAGTGCGTACTGGGGCACCACCTGACCAGCACCCCTCCCCCACACAGGGTTACACGTCGTTCTGGAACGACTGCATCTCGAGCGGCCTGCGCGGCTGCGTCCTGGTCGAGCTGGCCACCCGCGGACGGATCGAGCTTGAGAAGAGCGGCCCGCGCCGCCGCCGCCTGCTCGCCCGAAAGGTACGGCCGGCCGGCTGGCGTGCCGTCGCGCCATACCCCCGCCGGCCGCTCCGCGCCTCTCTCCTCACTCCCGCCGCTCTGTATCTGCCCGTCATGTTTCTGTTCGGCTGACAATGGACGGTATACCCGCCCGCAGCTGTGCAGAGAGCAGGTGATGTGCTAGCACGACCGACATGCCTGTCATCGGGCTGGTAGGGTTTTGGTGACATATGCGTGCTGTACCTTTTTGTTATAACGGTAGTTTGGTATTTCTTCTTCATTTTCTTTACGATCCCTTTTTATTTTCGATGTTTGCTGATTGCGCCAACGGCTGAATTGAATGTTATCAAAATTCATACCAAAAATCAAATCATTGGCAGCCTTAGAATCATTTCAAATTCTGCCCATTTCCGACTGACGCATCTGCTGCGTATTGACGACACTATCTGGGCCCTGTTCATGAACTCTGCGGCCGCTGCGGCCGGCCGCAGGCTCTAAGCTCCGCCCATTTTTGAAACGTCATCACCCACTCGACCGCAATGCGTTCCATGAACACGTCTGCTGCCGAAATAGTTTCCGATAATTGCGCGCTTGAGACGATTACTAATCAATAGTTTCCACGCGCTTCTTTTATCTGTGTATTCCATTCCTGTGATGAAAAGGGCGTTTCTCAAGGCCGTCTGGTGTTTCTGTATTTTTGTAAGTGGGTCACATAAATGATTTGGTATTCTTTTCATTAAATCGTAGCACAAATAACTTAAATCTAAAATTAAATCTCATATTAAAGCATTAATCTAATTTTTTAGGTATCATGGCATGCAACACCGTACGGAATGAATTTGTTTACAACATCGTCTCCATGGCAACACAGCCTACACTTTGACTTCAGTGCGCCAAGTTCAGTGCAATTACTTTCTTGCGGCTCGGCGGTCGCTGGATTGCGGCCGCAGAGATCGCAGCGGCCGCAGCAAGGTGACGTCATACATTCGTCATACTACATGAGCCCCGCCCCTTTTTGTGACGTAACAACCCGGCTGGCCGCAGCGACCGCAGCGGCCGCAGCGACCGCCGGGGTTCATGAACAGGGCCCTGATGATAATGCACCCGCCGCAGCCGCCGACACTGTGCATAGGTCAGCGTTTCTGAATATGGTCCGATGGCCGTCACTCGGAGCAGTGTTGTGCAAATGTAGCGGTGCCAGTGTCGCCGGTATCTGCCCACCCGCCGCCCGCCGGCCGCGGCTGTGTCGTAATGTCGTTGACCTCTGGTGTCCGGCGCTCGTCTGCTGACCTTGTGTGTCTGTGTGTGCGTGTGTTCCTTCACTGTCCGACCGTCCTACCCCGTCCCGGTCCGGGCAAAGAGAGCGCCAGCATGGAGACTGCCACAGGCCAAGGTAGGCTCGATGAGGGTATCAGGGACGGGACGAACGGTTTCATTAACCCGCGCCGGGTGTTTGAAGTTTTGAACACCCTGTGGTTTTTCGCAGTTATCTAAAAAACGGCGGCCATTTGTTCGTGCATCTTTTCCGCATATGTTGTAAAAATTTCAGACCCAGGTCACCTTAGGTTAGGTCACCAGGTCACGCCTAGTGACCTCACCTCAGAAAAAATAAGAATGCTCGCCATAGCTACACCGATTGATCGATTGCCTTGAAACTTTCAGCGATTGATTAGAGCAACATTATCTATAAAATGTTTATCTCGGAATTTCGATATCGGTGACCTAAGGTCAGGTCAATTTTGCGGCCTCTCCATTATAAGTCAATGGGAGAAAATTGAAAAGCGTCTGTTTTGCACGAACGCTATTCTAGACACTCTCAAACATCGAGATGTAGGTAAAATTGACACACTGAACCGGAAAATGGCAACTGTGACCCCTCGTTATGTCCCCGAGGTCATCTCAGGTCACGAACAGAATATAACAGTTTTTCGCTAATAACTTCTGATAGAGGCGTGCTAGAGCGCTGAAAATGCCTTAGATGTGTTCGGCTCGACGTTGCGGATCGACTGATATGCAACATGACCTTTTCCGGTCAGGTCATGACCTTGACCTGAGGTCAAATTTTTAAGTTGACCTTTGAAGGTCAACTTATAGTTCATTCGACGCGTCTCGACGAGAGGAACACGATGCTGGCAAAAGTAATGTCTCTTTTGAGTCAAAAGTTATCGCCGAAAAACCGATTTTCGTAAAAACGGCTATTTTTGGAGTTTTTGCCCTCTGGAGGCTAAACCGTTGACCTGAGGTCAAATCTGAGAACATCATCCAGAAAGGTCTGTAAAAGGGCTATCGAATGCCCTTTTCCGCGGCGCTGTAGCTCTATCGGTTCCCGAGATAGCCGTTGGTAGTTTCCAAAATGTTGAAATAGTCAACATTTTACCTTTGGTGACCTATGGTGACCTGACCTTTGACCTGACCCAAAAAATGGCTGAAGTGTTTTCGTCCTTATTTTGGACGTTCTTTCGATTGCCGCTTACCGCGTGTCGCTACGTGGCCCAGGAGCCGAGTTAGAAGGGGGGGGGGGTTCAGACCCCCCCCCCCGCCCGGCGCGGAATCTCAGAGCACCGGCCCGGCGCGGGTTAAGTGCCAGTTGCCTGATTTAAACGCAGAGCTTTGGATGCGCTACCACAAATGATGGATTTGTGCTGTTAATCAAAATGGCGATTTCCGGCAAGCGTGTCATCAGTGCAAGTCGTAATTTTTTCCTGCTTCCTGTATGCCAGTGATTGGGATGCCGCCACCCTGCTGCCTTTGGACCGCTAGCACTGCCTTATACATACCTGTGTGACTGAGATCTGTTTCCGCTACCATTGTTCAATCTCCATGCGCACCTTACTCACCCAGTTGCCCAAGCCTCGCCGGTCGGGTTTCCATCCTCCGCTGACGCCCTGACCCGACCTCCGCGACCGCAGGTGCTGATCAAGAACGACCAGCCAACGGGGGACGTGCTGCTGGACGAGGCCCTGCGTCACATCAAGGAGACGGAGCCTCCGGAGTCGGTGCAATGCTGGATCGAGTACCTCAGCGGTGAGAGGGAGTGGCGTGTGGAGGGACTGAGACTGCGGCTGTGATAGGGACGAGTGATTGTCTGACGTGGTGGGAGGACTTTGGCAACCACGCCGGATAGGTAAAAAAGACGAGCAATGGGCTGAGAGGGACTGGGGCTGTGAGGGGGCCTGGATAGGTTATATGAGTCAGAAGGCTGAGAGGGGTTGGAGATGTGAGTGGGACTGGAATGATGAGAAATGGGCAGCACTATCTTGTTAAAAGTCTTATGATATATTAGTGTAGGAAAGCGTGTAACAGGATTTGATGACCATGATATGCGAGGCTTTTCTTCTATCTTTATTTTCATTATGTAACTAACCTCTAGCTCGGAACACAATTTTGAGAGCTGGCAAGCGATGGGTTCTAATCTCCATATGAGACCATTGCGTCCTTTCTGACCCCTGATCCACCTTCGACCCCCTAGGTGAGACCTGGAACCCGCTGAAGCTGCGCTACCAGCTGCGCTACGTGCGAGAGCGGCTGGCCAAGAACCTGGTGGAGAAGGGCGTGCTCACCACGGAGAAGCAGAACTTCCTGCTGTTTGACATGACTACCCACCCGGTGACCGACACACAGGCCAAACAGCGACTGGTCAAAAAGGTAAACTCGCCGGGAGAGCGCAGGATGGGTCGCTGGGTGTGGTGTGGGTTTTGGGTGTATTTGGGGGACGTTCGTGATGTAATTGACGAAATGTGGTTTGGCAGTTACCTTTATGTGAATCGCTGAGGACGTGGCTGGTGTCAGTGAGGATTTGCTCCTTTCTTCAAAATGTCCATACGCAACGTGCATATAATGACGATGCTGATGAGTGCCGTTGGCATTATCCAAGTTTTAGGAAACCTACTCGTGGGCAGGTGTTCCCATGACTATTTTATGGCGACCTTGTATTTTGCTCGTCATCACGTCACCTGCTAATAGTCACACCTGGTGACCTACTAACCTGACGCCGTCAATCGACAGTTGCTGACTTTCCTAGTCGTTATTGCCTCACTGCAGCTGCTCAGTCCCTTCCCCACGTTTCAGCCCACCCCCACACCCCTCCAGAGCCCACCCACCCCAATAACCCTCCCCACTTCGTAGCCCTTATTCCCCACACAACAGAGCTCATCCAACGCAAGCTAACCCCACACCCCACTCGAACCCGTCCACCCTAGGTGACGTCCCTCCCCCTCCCCTGCCGCCACTAGGTCCAGGACGCTGTGCTCAGTAAGTGGGTGAACGACCCACAGCGGATGGACAAGCGCGTGCTGTCGCTGCTCATCCTGGCGCACGCCTCGGACGTGCTCGAGAACGCCTTCTCACCGCTATCCGATGACGACTACGAGGTGGGCGGCGTCACGGGTCACGGAATGGGCGGGTCATGGGTCACGGAATGGGTGGGGTCATGGGTTGTGTGGTGGGTGGGGTCACGCAATGGGTGGGACACGAGATGGGCGAGGTCACGGGTCGCAGGATGGGTGGGATCACGGGTTATGTGGTGGGCGGGGTCACGGGTTGTGTGGTGGACGAGGACAGCACGACACGTAATAATTACGCCTTTGGGAGTAGTCGGATGTAGGAGCGCCGACCGGCTGCCTGCATAACTGACTGAATAATTGTTTGAACTAATGAACGAATGCACTATGCAGGCTGATTGGGTGGTGACTTTTAGGAGTTGACTGATGGGGGTAGTAGAACGGACTGTTTGATATGTAATCCTGTAGAAGTAAAGAGTAGAGGTTTGCGATGTGGGTGCCAGTACGGCTCATATGGAAGGTTCTTGGACAACTTTCAGCCGCTTCGAACTCGAGGGCTTCACGTATGGTCGGTAGATAGCGTGGGTTGCGAAGCGTCGTAGGGAATGATCCAATGTGATCGCCCATGCGCCTTGTGTCGGTTCCCGTCGTCCTGTACAGAGGAAGTCACGTGGACGGATAGAAGTTCAGCCCACGTGTGCCTTATCTGTTTGAAGGTGATAGCTAAACCAACACCGTTGGGCTGCCAGCTGTTATCGACTATGACGTTATCTACCATAAAGCTTCACCTGCCTGTTTACAGGAACAATGTTCAAATGCGATGTGTACCCTTTCTTTCTGATAAAAGTTGAATGTAAAAGTTATACGTCAGTGTATTTCTAAAGGCTCCAAGGGATTCACCATAAGCCCCGCGTCCGAAGCCTCTCTGAGGACGAAGATTCTACATCGTCCGGCCAATCCCGTTCAAGGTCAACGGGGGCTCGGGTGCGGTTATGGAACGGGATTGGCCGAACGACGTAGAATCTTTGTCGTTCGAGAGACTCAAAACGAGGGATAAGAGTAGACTCACGTAAACATTATAGCAGACCCAGACCCCTTCTGTGTCGGTTCGGAGTCGGACTCTTATCTCGTCGGCGCCCTCACTCCTCTGACGGTCATTGCCCGTACTGAAGCTTCCCCCGCCGTCCGCCAGGTGGCCACGAAGCGTATCCGCGAGCTGACTGAGCTCGACCTCGACGCCGAGGCAGCCAAGCCCAACTCCCTGCCGCTCATGTGGGCCGTGTTCGCCGCATTCCTAAAGTGATGACGGCACACTTAGTGACGGTGACGCCGCCCGGCGCGGCAGTGACGTGACGCGGTGAGTGACGGCGGACTGCAGGGTGTCACAGAGCCGTCACGGAGGTGTTACAGTGGTGTTACGATGACGTTACGAGGCGCTACGAAGACAAGCGATAACTTAACACGGCGGGCACTGAATGGCCGTGGAGCGGTATGGAGTAGCCGTGTTCGAGTCTGACCTTTCGTGCCTGGGGTGACGGCGGACGTAGCGTGTGTTGACTCAGCATAGGCGGCGAAACACCCAGACGGCGACTCCCTCAGCCGTTCAATTATCACCCAGAGTGGACCACGAGTGCTGCGCCGAGCGAGCGAGCGTCTGAACCGGCCGAGCGACTGTGAGGGTGGATAACGACCCGACTCGATTCAGAAGCTGACCGAACGGGTGGACGAACGGGCATTGAGTGTGGACGGTGGACGCCGAGTGGTGTGGACAATGTGGACGTGACGGTGTGGAGAGCGTGGCCGTCCTAACTCACGGGCCTCCCGCTGCGTGGCGCCACCGTCGCACGGTGAAAATTGTACAGAATGGTGGTATCTATTGCGACGGCATCTTCTGAGCCCAGGGAGGGGAGGATTGGGAGGGAAATTGTACAGGACGTCGGTAACTCTAAACGTCACCGTCTTTTGAAGGGCGGGGAGGGATGGGTTGGGGGTTATATTGTCCAGAGTGTTTGTAATTTGTCTTATTCCGGTGGTTAGTGGAAGGAGTGGAGGTGAAATCGTACCGTATCGCGGCCGCCGCGATGGGTTACACGTTAGTGGTAGTCGATACCATGAGATGCTCCGAGGAGGTCGCTTTTTAATCGTGCTGTGCGCTCGCTTTATCCCTATATTCTCATCCTCACCGGTCCCCACGCTAGATTTCGTATGTGTATAAATATTTTTGTTATGGATTAGACTCGTGTTTCTGTTAATGATCATGCTTACACACAGGTGTTGAATATACAATAGGGCGTAACGCATTTGAGCTCGCGCGCTACGGATCATAAGTATCAAACGTTAGTTGTTGACCTTACTACGAACACTCGAGTACACACTGTCGATATAACAACAGGCACCGCAAGCTAACATGGCATGAATGCGTAACTGACACCCGATAAAGGCATTTAAGTTCATAAAAAAACAGCTCACTTTTACATATACATGACCTCAAGGTGCCACATTGCGATATAACTTGCGTCAAACCGATGCACAACTGCCAAAGGATATCACGGAACTGGCAGACGCTAAATCGCCGCATCTTGCACTTGCAACGCCAACGGGCATTGACGTTTACAGACCAAACCAGGCAGTAGCGAGCACACATTTACCGATGCTTTCGCACTACAGCTGCTGGGATACGACGCCCGAAAGCATTGCACTGTAGTCTGTAACTCAGTGTCGGCACGGGGAAGGTCTGTTTGTGACCGTTCCAGCTCACTATGTGACGTTCATTGATTCATTCTCAGTATTCTGGAAGAGTCTGTCGCCGTAAATCGTCCGCCCCACACTCGCTGGCCGCCTGATCGCAGCGGACCTCTCATCATAACACTTTTCTTCGACTGGCTCATATCGATGACGCTAGCAATCCAAAACACTTTTTCCTCTTATATGTGGTTGGTAACGTCAAGTCCCAGGCAGCTAAACCCAATCTCACGGCCCAGGTGACTTGCCGTTTCACCAAAAACTCATCATTTTCCATCTTTCTGCGCACTGGCTGATGGCCTGATGGCACACCCGTCCTGCTCACGTGATCGCCCCTCATTGTCTCACGATCTCCATCGTGTAGATCACGTGTCATTCTCCAAACGACGGCCTCTGACGGTGTCCACCGCATATCACGTGATGTCCTGTGCGAGCTCATGTTTCACCACACTCACTGGCCACGTGATATTCCTCTGTTCACAATGGCCACTGCCATAGCAAAAGCCCATGTCCTGGCAGCATTCCTCTTTGCAACATAGACTCACTTCACACAACACCACAATCTCTGCCGCTTGGTCACCATCCTGTTCAGCTAGGTGACCACCTTCCGCTTCATGTCGAGCCAGGGCCTGAAGACTGGTAGGCTGGCAGGGTACTCTGCGCCCCTCTTCCTCCGTAGGGTGCCGTCGGGGTTGCGGTACGGGTAGGAGGCGATCATGATGGGCAGCTGCAGCTTGATCTCCTTCTCCAGGTTATCTGGTTTGATGATGAACTGAAACGAGAAAGAGCAGTGTCAGAAAAAGGATGCTGTGTGACGGGAGCTTCAGCGTCCGTCATTTTTGATGATTGAACAGACAATTACTTTCATCGTTATGAATGATTTATCACTTAGCGGCTCGCAAGGGCGCAGTGTGACAACCTCAAGGACTCGAACAGCAATCGCCAGCCGTCATGCGCCAACCCATTCGCCAGAGAGTAAATCAATGAAAACGTTTACGTAAAAGGCACGTTTCGTTCGTGTCTATAGCTCGCGTGTCTGGCTGCAAAATAACCTTTACATACTTGAGCTACTAAACGTTTCAGTCGCTACTAAAAATTGGCCCGAGATCACTAGATCTTCCTAGTAATATTATGACGTGTGCACTGTGCAGCCTGGCGGTTGCGTGACCGGGGTTGGGACAGCTATCTTCCTCGTGCATTGTGGGGCGCAAACATCCGTCGTAAACAATAGGGGTTCCGAAAAGCAAACAGGGCCAACGGAACTGAAAAATAATCTATCGAGGATCTGTAAGACATGATACTGATCACGAATCATGATCAGTTAATTCAAAAGAAAGAAGAAGGACCAAGTGTTCTTCGAATGACAACAAATATGGGACGATCGTTGGGGCAACCACGAGAAAGCGCTGCATGTAACTCTAACCGGCGTAAGTACGGCTCCCCAGTCTGCTTTCGTTTCCAATTAGTCTCGTCTTATCCCATTTTTGGCCATCTGGATCCCGTTCGCCCTATTCCTGAGTCCAATCCTATCCCTAGTTCCATCTCGTCTCGTCTGGTGCGTCCCTTCGCTTCGTCCCGCTCCATCCAGATTCGTATTATTTATGTACAGGGTGTTCCAAAAAAAGTGAGCCCCCTAACTAAGATCGACTGTCTCCGCAACCGTGTATCCTACAGCTTTGGAAAGCCGCTCATTAGAAAGAGCAATCGAATTCCATCCAGATAGGTCGTAATTCTGTTACATAGCTTGCACAACACGACCAGCATTGTGAAAAGCACAATTCAATACCAAATTCTTAGTGAAATATTTAGCGGTAATGGATATAGTTAAAATTTCTTCACAATCCCCCCTCGCCCCGTCCCGTCTCCTCTCGTCTCATCTAATCTCATCTCGTCTTGTCTCCGTCTCATCTAAGTCCCAACTCCGTCCAGTCTCCGCTCCGTCGTCCCATAATTCGTCCCGTTTCGTCTCGTCAAATATTCCACTCCGTACCGCCCATTCTCGTCCATCCCGTCTCGTTCCGGCCAATCCCACCCCATCCAGAACATTCCACTAGCCGCGTCCAGTCCCGCGAGGCCTCCCCATCCCGTCTCGCACCATGGCCTGCGGGCAGTGGCAGCGCTGCAGACGGCCAGCCAGCCAGCCCCGCCCCTCAGCCCCGCGCGGCGGCCGCACAGCCTCCAGCGGCCTCCGGCAGCAGAGCCCGCAGAGGGCCGCGGTCACGGCAGCGCGCAGAGACCGATCAGCGCCGGCAGCGGACCGCGGCAGTGGGGAGTGCCGGCCGGCGAGGCATTCCCGAGCGAGCAGCCGTACGGCGGCCGGTGAGCCTGACGCGCGCGGAGGCCCCGCCGCGTGGCACGGGGTCTGCGCGTCAGGTGCTGGGGTCGGAGCGTGACTGGGGGGGGGATGGGCTGGGGTGAGAAGGTGACGCGGGGGCGGTACGTCGCCAGCCGCAGTCGTGACGAGCGTAGGCCAGGAGTGGAGCTGGGTAGATGTTTGATAGGAATCAAAGTTCAGGAGCTGCGGGATTCCGCTGAGAAAAACGTTCGTGCCAGACGGATGTGGGTGACCAAGTCTTCATATATTTTTTTAAAAACATTTGATAATGCCTTCATTTCTCTTAGAGTGCTCCCATATCCATTGATCTCAATTGTCAAGGCCAAGCATGTGGTGCGGCACTGAATCAAACTCCCCCACACCGGGTCGGTTATTGTCCGGTCTTCCCTGCCGATTGTTCGCGAGGAATGTCCCTGTCCTCGTCCCTCTCTGACGTGGTCCCACGCTGTCACTGGGAAACAGCGAAAATATGGGGCGTGGGAGGCAGGTGCCCATTGGCATCCCTCTACCCGGGGAACTATGGGCGTCACCACAAAAGCTGATCATCACCCATGGCTGTAAAATGCATAATCTCGGCCGCAGGCGAATCTCCTTATCCGGTCAGTTCATGGTCGCTGAGACCTGAGCGAGGCAGCGCCAATGCTTACATGCCGAGTTTGTATGCAAGTCAGTCAAAGCTGTTCTGTAGTGCATAGCTAACAAGGAACTAGAAAGTGACCAGTAGGTATCCTGCGTCCTGTGACTTATGTATGGATCCGGGTGACTGGGGCTCGAACACTTACCATACCCCTGCTGGTTTAACAATGCTGTGCCTCGTGTTGGTACGACCTCCCTCACCGATCTATAGGTCACCCCAGCAACAATGGTCGAGGTTAGACACACACTCTCCGCCTGTTTAAATTTGCACCGACTCAAGAACACAATCCACAGACTGTTCGGGCCCTGGCTGGACCGTCGGGTCGGCTGGCCTGTTGCGTCGGCTGGCCTGTTGCGTCAGTGCGGTGTTCCGTGCAGGTTAAGACGGTGCTCTTAGTCAAAAGTCAAGACTGACTTGTTGGAGAGTGAAGTGCTGCTCTGATCTGAGCGATGCTCGCGCTTATTCCTAATCCCAGCTGACTGCATATTACTTATTTCTTCTTACGAAGCCAGTAAAGACTTCATGGTGATTATTTAGTGCGAAGCAATTTTGAGGGTCAACTCTTTTAGAGCGATTCCATCCGGACCAGCGAAATATTCAAATTTGCGAAGGGGACCGTAACAATACGGACAGACGGTCGCACAATTCTAAGCATATCCAGATGACCGTCAGCCTAAAGCGACTGCACACTGCATGCTGTCCCAAATACACATCCAGCCCGCAGCCCCCCAGGGTACCTTTCACCTGACTTTTTATGGCGGTGTGTCACCGCGACCGTACCGGCCTCTGAATGCAGATGACGGGCGCAGAGTGCCGTGTGCTTTTTGTCACCATAGAGATGACACTGCTGACCTCTGGCTTTAAACTGGCTAGACAGAGCAAGACCTTCGAGCGTTACGATATTGCAGGTACAGTCACCAGCACTTGCTACTAGTTAATCACCTCGTTTTTGTTCAGTAGTTTGAAGACCGATCAATTGTCAGTCGCGCAAGATACGTCAAACGATCCGTTTGGTCCTCCGATTTTCGAATAGCTAACTTGTTTTTGTATATTCGAAGCATTTTGGGATGGGGAGCCAAAAAACCTCTTTTCTGCCCTAAAGTGTGCCCCAAGAAGTCGTAGAACCTAGCCCCGCCTCTGATCCACAGACCACTAGTGCCATCTCTTGTCAGCCGAACAAGCCGCAGAAGTAAATAATGTCACGTGACCTTTGCACACGCTACAATTACTACGCAGCTGTAGTGGGGGAAGCGGGGCGGAGGCGTGGAGAGGGACGCGATCGGTCGGCTGGGGTCAGGTCGCCGAGGTCAGAGGTCATCCGCCGGAGGGTGTTTGAGCGGTTGGGCCGTGTAGGCTGGGGCCTGCGGAGTGGGGAGCGCCTGGACCTGTCTGGAAACAAGCCCTACAACGCTGTGACAGTCGATAATATTGTGAGGAGAGAGAGAGAGAGAGAGAGAGAGAGAGAGAGAGAGAGAGAGAGAGAGAGAGAGAGAGAGAGAGAGAGAGAGAGAGAGAGAGAAAGGGAGAGAGGGAGATGGAGAGAGAGGGAGAGAGAGGGAGATGGAGAGGGGAT